TAAAAGCAAATCTGACTTCCTATGAGAACTAACCATAAGGGAAGCAGCTGACAAGCACCATGACAAAGAAGAGGAAGTATAAAGGTAGTAAGCGTCAACACAAGCAGCAAATCCAAAAAGATTTGAAATGGTAAACAAATTCAATTTTCAATTCACTATTTTATTACACTGGAAGAAGACTTTTATGAACACACTCTCCCACACCTGGTCTCTTGAAGTACCAATGAAGTTACTTCACCTACACCCACACAAAAGCAGCACAAAAATATTCACTTAATGAGCTCCTACCATTTAATAAGCCAAAATGCCTTAGCAGTAATTTTTCACTTGCAAAAAGGAGGAGAAAATCTATTCTGGACATGAAGAGGTATGTTCAAGTAGAGTGTGAATATGCCTTGAAAACATAAGTACTGGGGAGAATAGCAAGGAGGCAAAAATATGATAAAAAAGAGCTGATGAAGCAAAGCAAAAAATTCAGTGACCCTGCAAGTCTGTGAAGCCTTTGAAACACCAGGATTTTTGCTTTGATGACACGTTCTGCCAATAAATCAAGAAAAGCCCAAGAACTCATTTGCAGATTTAGTGAGGGTTTCAGGGTATATGGAAAAGTCAAATCAACTTGTGATGTTCTGCTTCTTGTATAACGATAAAGGCACAACTTCCCTACATGGCTCCAAGCACAAAATGGAAGCGCCTGCAGACCCTGAGCAGCTCCAGACGACACAAAAGCCAGAACAATTCTTGTGCCAAATATGGTTAATATGATCATATTGCATTACAGTCATTGTAGTGATATTGGACAAATGTTATGTTGCATGAGGCTATGCAATAATTGGGCAGTAATCAGTAAAAACATTAAGTCCCTGTTTTACAACTGCTTCATCAGTAGCTATAAAACAACATCTTAACAAAGAGCATAAAACTAAAAAGAACCTAGACTAACAAGGCATGTTATGGCAGTTTAGAAGTAAAAGTAACTTTAGCAATATAGAATTGAACAACACTATTTAAAACAACGACCAGAGAAGATTTACTATTCCATATTTTAAAAAGAAAAGAAATAAAAAGCAGCTATTCCAATGGCCTAGTTTTCATAGCAAATATGTCATGCTGGTAAGCAAAACACAGCGCCTTGATGCTCACCAAAAAAAGCACTATTATTGGATAGCTGACTATAGCACTATCAGTCCCTAATCACATAACCTTGCATGGACAATGCTAATCACTGAAAAGATGAAAGAGAGAGAAAGAAACATTAGAAAAAGCTTTGGCTAAGATATTCAGATATGAATTTTGACTGTATAAATAGGTATATTTATGGCAGAGTCCAAGAATGATCAGATAAGCCATTAGAGAATGAAAGCAGTTCCTTCCAAGTTGTTTTTGAATACATCACCTCATTTTTAGTAGGGTTCTGGTATCATGTGCAGTTAACATATAATTATTACAGAACTGTGATTGCATCGTTAGCAGAAGTTTAATTATATCATTGACATTAGTGATGCCATAACATCAAGCTCAATAATAGTTCATAACAAAACCTACAATTAGCACAATTTTTCCTCCCTTTTACACCAACCAAAAGTGTTCAGCTTGGAGAAGCCTAATAGTCCATACAGAAGTGAGCTGGGGCTGAACCTGAAAGGATTGCTGGCTGGTAATTTAGTAATATGGTAATTAAAGTCTTTTCATGATGTAATTACACATCAACTACAAAAGGACAGCTGCTATACAACACTGCCAGGGTACGTGGCATGAAATGATTAGATTTGAGAAGCTTTGGTGGATAAACTGAATACCACAGACATAAGTCTGAGGTATAGCTGGCAGCACACAGTACATTATTATTCAAGTCTCCCACTTAACGTTTCCTTAAGTCTCATTGTGACAGTAACAGTTTGTTGCACATACCTTGGTCCTCTGACAGCAGAAGCTGTTCAGAACCCCACTTTAAAAGCTTCTGCTCTTTTTTAAGTTCCCTGAAATTATAAAACCTAACCTTTGGTTAGGTTTGCATGAACCCAAAACGTTTACTTCCCACACAAAACCTTCTCTCACAGATTTCTATCCGTGGGAAAGTTGATTTATTTGCAGGCTTTTTCCAGTGGGGTAGCAGAGAGGGAAGGAGGAGAATGAGGAGAGGGGAAAGGCACAAATGAGTAGGTGAACTCAAAGAAACCAAGGGTTTCGTCATCTGCAAGGGTTTCCAACAGCAACAAGAGTGAAAAAACAAACCCATCCTTCTTCTCGAGAGCAGATAACCATTTCTTGAAGTAGTTTCCATTTTGTATTTTTCACTGCCCTCCCTTTTATTTGTACAAACCACAAAGTTGACTACACAAGGCATGAGACAGCAAAAAGAAATGTATTTTTCCCAACTTAGACAAGTAAAATTTCTTGACTACATAACTCGGTTCTTCAAAATACAGGAATGCACTGTGCACCCTGGCAGGGGGCAGACAACCTCAGAGTGGGTTGTCTAGTCCTAAAATGTCATTTTTATCATGACAGCAACTCAGATGTTTTGCAACGGCGGTTTTTTTCCCTGTAAGTTGGAAAGGGGATTGGTGAGAGAGACCCAGACCAACTGATCTACACTTTAAAGCTTTAAAATTTCTTTTGAGCTAGGAAAGTCAAGAAATTGACTTATCTGAAAATGAAAGATTTGGAAATAATTCTCCTCAGCATATGAGACTTTCTGTGAGATCCATTTGGGAAGCACAAAACCAAACTATTTTGAATCTGGAGGGACTTTATTTCCAACAAGATGTAAGGAATGAGAATTTGAATCCTCGTTCAAACAACACCCAATCTTGATGACAGTCTCCTTTTTGTTTTCTGCCCTCCCTCTTCTTCTGAACAGAGGTTCTGAGTTGACTTAATGAACATGCAAAACTTCTTGAAGACTTATTATGTTTAACTACAGTTACACCAATACTCTGGCACCAGCTCCAGATCACCGCCAACATCAGTGTCTTGCCCTTGGATATCAGAGGTTGCAGTGGAGCTGAGCCTGCTCAGCACAGAAGGAATCCTCAGGGAACTGGAAGTAGCCAGTTCCAGTCATTTAAGAACATTTAAGAACAAAGATCTTGGCTACTCAGATATAAGTCCTGCATGCCCAGTTTTACACAGTACACTTTTAAGAGACAATAAAGCAAATTAGCCAACTCAAAGAAAGAGACTCAACTGTACTTCAAGTGCAATAGCACTAGAAAACTTGATTATTTCTAATTTAATGGCAGAAGAGATAGAATGTAGTTCAGCTAGTAGTTCTGTTGACCAGATAGGTGATCACCTCAAACATGTACCATATGAGGACTCACTTGACATTTTGATACAAAAATGAGATTCAAATATGTCACTTGTCAATAGAAACTGGGTGAAAAACTTGCAACACATACAGCAAATTTAGCATCTTAAAAACAATCACCAACATGAAAAGAACAGGAATTTTATGCACAGCAAAGGATTTATCTGACTTCCTACAAGGGAAGCAGCAAGAGGCAATAAAAATCTTAGGTTTAAACTACAAAACCCTTAATTTTTAAGTGTTGTCTCTGTAAGTATGTGAGTGTACACACTACAAACATGAACTGTGTATGCACAAACCTTAAACACAAACATAGCAGTCTTTACCTAAAGACTGATGCCTTAAGTTTTAGCTTTCATATTTTTCAGATTCTGTACTGCATTAGTATGTAACTCGGAATTTCATATAAGGTGTTAGCAAGGTCTCTTCACACTTTAGTTTGACAAAACATTCCTTTTCCAGCCCAAGAACCAAGGACACCATTACAGTTTCAGGCCCCACAAGTATAAACAACAGTGAATTGAGGAGAGCAAACTGGGAGGATGGGACTTCAAAGTATGAAACTGTAATTGGACAATTAACCTCAATATGTAAATGGACCAAAATTTATAAAAGTATGAAAACTCGTGACCGGTCATTGATCTTGGGTGTAGTCATAGCTGGGCTCTTGTACTGCCCAAGGTGTATCCTTTAAAAGCCTTTTAATAAATACCTACTTTATTCCTTTAACACTGTCTAGCCTCTGTTCCAGGTAGTTTCTTTAGGCATCAAGACAACATGGTTCAATACCCTTGCAGATGTTAATTACTTAGCTATTAATGAACAGAATACAAGAGCAGGTCATATCGCATTTAAACTCTTCTCGATGCCCATTTTACACAGGACACTCCTGAAAGAAACATGTGAAGTCTGAAGTCTTGCTAGAAGAGCCTCACTATCTCTCTCCAATGGTATTAAGGGCAGAGTTAGTGAGGGGAAAAGAATGCAAGTGAGAGATTTCCAGTATGCTCCTATCTTCAGCAACATCAGAAGACAAAGAAAATGCTTATTGTGAGCCTTCAATAACCCATCTTCAAAACAAAATAAAGCAACAGTTCCTGAGCAACAGCATTAAGTTCTGAGAATTGGACAAGTACTTGAGTTAGAACAGGACAAGGCGAAGAACCTATACCATGATGGCCTGTCTCCCTCTCCTCATCCCCCAAGGTAAGAGTAGCAGCTATTTGTGTACTGATCACTACCTTCAATTACATGAAAATCTGGAAGCGAAATGGCCAACAAGACTAAGCCTGGCAACAGGAGCCACAGGATTTCCTATGGAACAAATGTAGTCCTACCAGCTGTTCCGGATACAGTCACCTTGTCAGTGTTCAACACACAATTCTACTATACACGCAACACCTCTTCTGTTTCAATGGCTTTTCAGCACCTTTCCACTTCTCTGCAAACATCAAGTCATTCAGAAACTGCTACAGGACTAGAAGTGCTGTCAGTTTCCCTGACCGCAACCACTGCTCAAGATACTGGAATGCTATCCCTGGCACTTGCATTCATTTCAGTGAGAAGTGCTAAGTGTCCAGCCAAGAATCACAATCTTCTTGTGATGCTGTCTGCATTTAAGGAACTCAGTAACACCAGGCCTGGGCAGTTTGAGGTGAAGGATTAGATGGGGAGACAACACACTTACCTGCTGTCACCAGCATTTGCCACATAAAGCTTCCCCAGCAAATACACCACCACCAGGGCTGTGCAGCCGCCAGAAATGTTATATACGGTCCTCTCTCTCTCTATTTGCAAATCCTGTGGGAGAAGAGAACAAGATTTATAAAGACAGTATTACAATTAATGCTTGAGAAAATGAAGTCTCCCGTAAAAAATAAAAATATAATAGAATCTTTATTAAACTGTATGTCCCACTGTCTGCCTTTTCTTGCAGCTATGGCCACATAAGCTAGGAGGAGAACAGAAAGTTGAGGAGTACCCATTACTTATACAAAGATGTTTGGGAAAAATCAGGTCAGGAGAGTGTAAAACATCAGGTACTAAGGAATAAATAGCAACTCTCAGGGATGCAAAAGAATTTGCTATGGCAAAAGCACAATGAAGGCAAAGATAAATGAAGCGTAACAACAGGTACCTGGTGGTATAATTGGAGTGCTTTACATAGACAGCAGATAACTAATGAGACTCAGCTACAGCATGAATAACTACCTACTTCCCTAGAGGAATGCTAGGATTGTGGGGTATACACCTTAAGAACAATAGCAAGATGCAGTTGTGTCACAAGTCCACCCTTCAGAAACACAGGGAATGAGTGGATACTAAACTGATTCTGAGCGCAAGAAACATTATATATTAAAAGAGTCATTCTGCTTAACAGAAGTGGAGAACCCAAATTATACTTTTCACCAACAGTCAATAAAATCCTGAAAAGAAAAATAGCAAACACATAAATACACACACACACACACACACATACACACATATATATAAATACACATACAATGCCCCAAGAAAGCTTGCAGAACAGAGCAAGTAACTAAATGAGCTACTTTCATCCATACATTTTAAACAAACACTGAAGTGTATGCCAATGAATTAATTCTGCTGTCTGTAGTTTAGCTTCAGGCAATAAAATGGTACAAATTGCCCTTCGTTCCTGTGTCCAGAACCAAATCCCATTTGATTCAAACAGGGAGCATCATTTAACATCACTATTGTATGCACTGGCAGATCTTTTCCAGCTAAACCCTGCCTACTTTTATGTGGTGCTGTTTTTATTATGAATATATGTTTGCTTCTGTGTGTGTGTGCATACACACAGATCTATACTTCAACTATTTTCATATCTGCACCAAGCAACAAACAGTTCAAATTGTTCATGCCTTAGGGTATGAAATTTGGAGCTTTATTTTAGAGCTAAATTTATCTGAAGAAAAACACTACAATAAATACAAACCATGACAGGTGCAATTTGATTGAAAATCTGCAGAGACAAAACCTGTCCCACGCTTTGTCTCCTACAAATTTCAAGGGAGGGAAGTGACCTGGTGCAGCAGCAGGGATGCTCAGCAGCCCTTGGGCACTATCATGAGCCAGTGGGCAGAGGCGTCTGTCAAATAACTTGCTGACTCTGCCCTGGCCAATGCACATACATCCCATTTGTGCCATGAACACAGTGCTGAGGTACTGTCCCCACAGGCCATTCTCAGCTGTGTGTGCAAACTGCACGTGGCTGCCACAGGGACATGGGTTCTACTGCACTCACCAACTTTTTTTGGGGGGATGGATGGTAAGGACCAGGAGGAACACACCTCCAAGCTATAAATCATATCTTGCAGAACCTTTGGTCACAGACATGGGCCTGTTATAAATGCCTCTTTTTATAATCTTGCCATAGAGAAACTGATTCTCCTCCCAGTGGTTTATGTATATTTTTAAATTAAACTGAAAAGAAGAGTTCAAAGGAATCAGACATTTCTAACCATCAAAATAATTTAAACTTACAAACACTACTGATTTTCCAAGCACTGCCAGGAATCTCAAGAAACCTTCATTTCCACAGTTCAGAATACGCTCCAAGACCTTTAGACAATGTGCAATTCTTCACCTGGTTTCAGCTCTGTCATACATATACTTTGCAAGTGCTGGAATGCCTAAATTAAAATTTATTCCTTCCAATAAGCAGATTTCAGAAGCATCTATTATAGGAGAGAAGATGGATAATCCTTAGGGCCTCTTTTTCAGAATTTCCTTGACTTAAACTACATCTGTGTACTGCATTTTCTCAAATTATTGCTGTTGTTGGGTTCTTCCATCTAGAACTTCAATTTGCTACCACGACTTGTCAGAGTACATTGAGTGCCATGTATGTTTCAATATTACATACTTTGCTTGACATTTTCTTTTTCAACAGCAAGGAAAGAAGGGAAGGCTTTCCAACAGCTCAACAAGATTTGAGGGGGAAAAATAAAGCAAAATGAAACTAAGCTCCCCAATGCCACCAATTCGTTCTGATGTAGAGACACTGGCTTTTAACAAAATACTTTGTAACAGAGGCGCTGAGAAAGTAGTACAAACATGAGCAGAAACCCCGAAATGCCTCTAAAGCCTTTATGAGTGTAACGGGGCTCATTCTAGACGGAGTGTATGCAAAGCTTTCCTCATTTTCCAGTGGGAGAATGATTTCTGAGCTAGCGTAATTTTTGTTGTTGGTTTTGATTTTGGTTTGGGTGGGATTTGCTATTTTTTGTTTGTTTTGTTTTTGTGTTTTTGTTTTTTGTTTGTTTGTGGTTTCGTTTGGTTTTTTCCGAAGAATCAATTCAGTCGGAGCTCGGCCGTCCGCGCCGGCACACATGCTGCAGCGGGTGGCAGGTGCTCCCTAGGGTTGCGCCAGGTCTGGTTCCCCTTTCCTGGTGAGGAACGCGGAGCGCAGCCCGCAGAGGACCCGGCAGGAGGTGAGGGCGGGCAGGGCGGCTCCCGCACCGAGCCCGGCGGCGGCGGGGCGGGAGGGCCGCGGGCCGGGCCGGGCCGGGCCGGGCTCCCCACAGCAGCGCCGCCGCCCGGGAGCCGCGGGCCGCTCCCGCCACCTGGCGGAGGCCGCGCGCAGCGGCCGCCGCTGCCGCCCGCGGCACCTCCGCCGATCCCTACTCGAGCCCCGGGCCAAGGCAGGGTGGCCGACAGGGACCGGGTGGGTTTGGAATGTCTGCAGAGAGGGGGACCCCATGATCTCCCTGGGCAGCCTGTTCCAGTGCTCTGCCACCCTCAGTGTGAAGAAGTGCTTCCACAGGTTGAGCTGAAACTGTGGCTTAGTTTATGGCCATTTCTCCTCATCCTGTTGCTGGGCAGCACGGAAAAGAGGCTGACACCATCCTCTTGACACCCTATTTATGCACATTAATGCGATCCCCTATCAGTCTTCTCCAGACTAAACAGCCCAGCTGCCTCAATCTCTCCTCATACAAGAGATGCCCCAATCCCACCATCATTTTTGCTGCCCTGTGCTGGACCCTCTCCAGTAGCTCCTTTTCTTTCTTGTACGGAGGAGCCCAGAACTGGACACAGCACTTCAGGTGTGGCCTCACGAGGGACAAGTAGAGGGGGAGGATCACCTTCCTCAACCTGTTGGCCGCACTCTTCCCACCCTCTATTCATCTATATTTATCCTCCGAGCAGCAGCCTTTCCTCCAGGATCTCAACCTTGCTATGACAGAAAGCAGCTTTACACACACAGTATTAGGTATCTGGTTAAAATAAAAGTTTCAGAAGGCATAAACATAAAATTAACTCCTTAGCATGCTTTACATCAAATGCCTGTAATTCTATTTAAACTCTCAATTCTACTGGGTATGAGAGGAAACTTTCAAAAAAGTGAACTGTATTACACATGACATTCTCTCAAGACTGTTCAATTAATTAAAATGCCACCAATCTAAAAAAAAGCACCTGTGTAGATTTCATCTAAGTAAAAAAAGAACCTCAATAAAGAAGAAAATCATGATACAATGAATAGAGATGTATACCTCCCAAGAAATCATACAGACTAGTTCTGTGCCATTTATTCCCATTTAAAATTAAATGGGGTTCAGAGTAGAATAGGTGCTCTTAACCTTTCTTGCAAATACACACAACATCACACATGTATACAAGGTTAAATACAGGGAAAGGACAATAATCTGATGTTTCTATTCAATATGGAACTGCACTTGGAAGCATTCCTCCTGACTTCTTTGAACTGAAGCTATAAATGCACTTCCTAAAACTCAACAGATGAAAATTAGAGGATTTGACTTATGACAGCTTCAGAACTATAGCTTATTTATTTCTTTTTAACCGGAACAAATGTTTTACTGACAATCACTGACACTTGCTGTTTTTTAGACAGGGCATTAAATTATCCAAAAACACAGCATGAACTTCCTAATCCCTGTTTCAACACAGAAAACATAATTTAGATGTACTTAAAAATGGAGACAATTTAATTGCTAAATGTCTAAGTTAGGCAATGATGATCTGTGTCAGCTTTCCACAGAGTTTTACTGCAAGTAGCTGTTAGACAAGAACTGTCCAAAAAAAACCACATCAAATAAAGGAAAAATATTTTTTAAGCCTTTTGAAAGCCATGAATTGCATTTTATTTGAGACTTGAGGCAAAACTAGGGAGACCTCAACTAGAATTCAAAAGCAAGTTGGGGAAAAAAAAAAAATGGTATACTAAATGCTCCCAGGAAAAGGGGACAAAGCCATCATTAAATAAATGTGTCAGGTCGGACTCTTTAAAAAAACAGTATTTTATCTACTCGTTATTTTCACTCAGTTCACAAGAATCCTTTGCAGCAATTGGTGTTTCAGGGAAAACCACCAAGAAGTCTGCCAACATGTCCAGGAAACTTGAGCTTTCACCAAGTGCCAGGTAAACTGACACACTCTGCTGGCACAAAACCCTTGTACACACTGCACAGCTCGACTGCGCTGACCTAACTCAGCAACATCCATGATGTTCCAGTACAAACAAGGGCTGATTAAACAATGTGCTGTGCAAGAGGCCCAAAGTCTTCATGCAAAGACTAAAAGGAGTACAAGCTAGCAGGAAGTTAAATAGAGGCAGGAGGAAGATCAAGTACTGCAAGCACAGATGAGACACAGAAATGTTGATTTTATGAATTGCTCCCTTACACAGATGAAAGAAAATACTATTTTGCCTAAAATGCCCCTCAGAGCCTAAAGTAGATACAATTTAATTATCTACTGCTTTCTTTAAGCTGACCATTTTTATAAGATTTCCTGTAAAACTTAATGCTGAAATTACATTGCATTGGGGTAGTCATTTGTTTATCAAAGACAATTATGAACTTCAGCCCTCTAATATAAAGCAAGTGGGAATTAAGATACGTGGTCTGTAGCATAAGAACAAAGATGCACTGAGGAAAATGTTCTGTTTAGTTCAGTTTAGAAACAGAGAGAGGAGATTAGCATGAGCTATACAAGGAATACCTGAACACCATAACTGAGTGAGTTATCCAGTGTTTCTGCATTTGTCATACTCTACCCACAAAAGCCCTCCTCACAACCAGATCTCTGAACATAAGCTGAGATGGTCTTCTGTGGAACCTACCAGAGATGTGAAGTCAAAATAAAGCAGTGCAATAACAGCCCTGTTCAGACACATTCACAAAGGCAGCAATGGGTAACGCACATGCTGCTCTCCTAAGAGAGGTAGAGTACTTGAAACAGCCCTCTTATACTCTTACTTTCACTGCCCAGTCCCACAAAACTCCACTTCTCATCTTGCCTGCACTTGGAGACAGTTTCAACCCGAGAGAATCATGTCACACTCTCAGAGCTTGGCACTCTTCTGGCCTCAAAATTACACCAACTGAAGCATGAAATTTGTGTTCCTTTTAAGCGTGCTCTGAATCCACTAGGGTGCAGTGGATGGGCATGGTCACCTTCTCCCTCATTTCTCAACAAAGCCCTTTCTGAAAAGCTGTGCTAAACTGACAGATTTTCATGCATCCTCGTCTTTCTTTCCTTCTAGCAGAAACCAAGCCCACTACCCACAGTACATAAATCTGCCCCCACAATCCCCACTGAAGCATGCCTAAGACATGGCTATGAATGCTGCTCCTGGACCTACCCACCTGCAAGTCCAAACCCAGCTGGTGGGTCTGCTTGCCTGCACTTCCTTGGGAAGAAAGAACAATCCAGAAAAATACAATTTTTTTGTTATTCAGGACTCAGAGTGAAGTACTACTTGTAGCAACTGTAGTCTCTAATTAAATGCATGTACTGGATAAAATTCATAGGGAAATAGATGGATATTCTGTTCCCACAAGGTCATGGTTTCCTGACAGTTGTTCAGGCTGTACACAAGTCAGGTGGGTGGCAGGAATGAATTTCATACCCCACTCATCAACAAAATCTGCCTCAGTGAAGAGCTGCAGACACTCTACAGTCACTATTTCAACACCAATGTGAACTATGGGTCATTGGACCAAGCAGCCTTTGCTGCTGCTCTGGTAGGGCAATGAGGATTTATAAAGTGCATGTCCACATACTCAGCCTGATAACAACTGCCAGTGCTGAAATCTGCACTGTAAGGCAGTACTGATCTTTATCTTATAAAAGGAGGGGGAGAAGAAAATTAAAAAGAAGAGTATCATACATTGAGAATTCAAGTAATCCATAACCATTGCCACAATGCTACCTCAGAGTTAAGATGCAGGGCCTGCCTCACAGGGGTGCACCTGGTAAGCTGTTGAGGCTCTTAAACAGTTCTGTTCACAATCAGATGTTGTTAAAGCAATGAAAGAAAAATTTAAAAAAATCTAAATCTTCATCATCTCCAGGTCATGTGACTCAACATAAACAACAAGGACTTCAGGTCCCTGAGATATACATACCATTTCCTTGAATGCACTTTCTATGGCCCCAATAACCAGGCACTCGTGTGGAATCTTCTTCTCTGTGAAGAAGCGTGTTGGAGGCGTGCTGGGCGAGCCCGGGGCTCCCACACCACCGCGCAGGGAGGCCGCCCGTGTCAGTGTCCTGCTGTTGGTGGATGGGTTGTCAGGCTCCTCTCCCAAGCAGGTGGGTGGGAGGACGGCTGTGTTCCTCAGGATGTCCACAATCTCCTGCAGCTGTTCCAGGATGTGGTGCTGCAGCAGTTTGGAAGCGACTACAGCTGCCCCTGACCCAGCATGTCCATCAAACAGGGACCAATAGTACAGGTTGATCCCATCTGTGTCCTGGAGAAGCAAGAGGCAGAGAAAGGAAAGGAAAAGAGATGGTCACTGTTATGCAGTTGTGTGCAAGGTGACTCGTGTCACAGAGGCAGCAGGTGAAAAACAAATAACTTTCCCAAAGGCAACATTCTTTCTGAAATACCCACAGTGTCAGTACAACTCTGATTGAAAGAAGAGATGCTTGTTTTTGCCACACATCGCTAGCATGTTTTTTCTTTTCCTTAACCTCTTAAAGAAAAAAGCCCAAGAAAAAAAAATGAAATAAGAAAGGCTGAATCTTTCTTACCTTACAGCCATCACAGGTTGTAGAAGAATAGCATTTGAATATACGATAGACATACCACTATGAAAGATCAAAATTCTACTCAAGACAGCACCTGATACTTTGTGACAGACCATTTTTTTTTTTTTTTTTTGCTAGGCATGAGACAAAGGACCTCAGTTTGACATCCAGCAACAAATGTGAACTCCACTTCCACAGCTGGTAGATAAGGTCCATCCATGCTGGCAGATGGGACAACGCAGGCTTTCCCTGCCTGTGCCAGACCAGGAAACAGCACCAGCACAGAAGTCCTTGAGGATGACAGACGCAAGTGGGATCAGCAGCACTTCATCTGATCTAGCCTCTATGTCCACTGCCTGGTTCTTCACAGTCCCATAAAAAGTTTCCTATATAGTACTGGAAATGGTGAGGTTGCTTAGACAGGGCATTAACCCAGGGCTGGAGGCAAAGTAGCTCTGAGCATTACAAGCTCCAATATGCCTGGAGAATACCAAGGAGTCATACTTTGATAAGCTCAACTTTTTGTGGGAAGAGAAATTCACCTAACAATCCTGAGCTATCCATTTAAAGCATAAAGATACCTATCTTTGCATGACAGCATATTTGGCATTAGTATGGGGAAAGAGTCTTTCCTGTCTTTCCTTCCCCTCTATTTATTTTAATCCTGCACCTTCTCCCAGCTATGCAGAAACAGCTGTTAGTGGGGCTGCCTTGCAAGTCAGATGTGGGTGGACTAATACAGATTTAGAAAGAAACAATTTTGCAAGGGACAGGAATATATGAGGCTATACTGTTGTAAAATACCTTGTAATAACAAAACATAACCTAGATCTCACCACATTCAAAGAACCTCAAAATTACATGTGCATGTTGCACTGTGGTCTAATTTAAGATGGCAGACATTATTTGTTTCGTTCACCTGAATACTGCTCCCTTACACTACAGATCAGCATAAAGTCTGGCACTACCTGAATCCCAGCACTTCATGTCCAAAGCACTGCCTATTTCAAATTTATGGACAGGGCTGTGAACTGCAGCTCCTTTTACTTTCTGCTGTTTCAGCTCCTCCACTAAGGTGCCATGATAATAAAAATCACATAAAAGTCGATGCGTTTTCTTTTTCTTTTTTTTTTTTTTTTTTTTTTTTTGTATAGAGCATTGCTGATGTGGTAAAGTTCAAATATATTCTTAACCAAAGCCTCAACAGCATAGTCATCTGCACAGCAGAGAGCTCCTCCAAAGGAGGAATTCATCAGTCCCTCACGCACTCTTCATCACTGAAATGATGTGATAAGGGGGTGTTTTCCTAAAGTACTGTTTCCTTACCACAGTAAGGATCACACAAGATACATCCTAGAATGGTGGAAAAAGAAACATGTGTCCACATTTCCAAACATGGTTCCTTAGCCAAACGCCCCTTCCCTCTCCCCCCACACATACCCAGCCTGGTAAATTCATTACAAAACCAGTCGTGAAACTTCCCACCTGAAGGCAGGGCTGGCAGTTGTACTACCTTTCTCTGGGCTCAGAATCCCTCCAAGTTCACACAACATCTGGCTGTAAAATTCTGTGTAAGTAATTTTTAACAGCTAAGAGGATTAGTAATTTAAAAACTTGCTTGTAAAAATAGATTGCTACTCATGTAAAAATGTATTTTGCCAACAGAAACAATTTTCCAAAGTGAAAGTATTTCAGCTGAAAACAAATTATTTATTCAAAATGACAACACCGTGCCTCCTGGGATTTGTATATCAAACCACTTCTGCTCCCATTCTTCTCTTAAGAGTTTGTCTCCCTGGCCAAAATCCATGTTATAATGGATAATACTTCCACAATTTTTTTCCTAATGTCCTTCAAAGGTGCTACTCATTTGGAAATGTGTTCTCTTTTGGGGGGGAATCCCCAAGGCATTTCAACTCTGATTGAGATTAAAATATTTTATCTTCCACCAAAAAGAAGCTGATATTTTGTCATTGCTCTCCCCCTGCCCCCAAACTGGAACAGAAACTTACAATCAAGAACAAGTTTGATCTGCACTCAATTTTCATGAGTTCTACAAAGCAAACCCCCAGCAAAGTCTGTGCTACAGCTTTTCAGAATATAAAGAAGAGAGTTATTAACACAATTTATTCTTATTACTATGATTTCAACTCTGGATATGTCCTACACTGATCAAGCCTCATGTGAGTTTGGGAATTAAAGATGAGACTGGGACACTTTAAAACTGATGAAAATAGCCCCTGACAAAAAGGGAAAATGAAATGTTACCATTTATTTCCCCTAAGCCAATGAGGAGCACAAATTTGGACAGAGAAGTTCACATGGACTCGAGCTGTATTCTCAGACTCTCACTGACACATGTCACCGTGGCATGGCCACATCAGCTGTGGTGGTCCACTGATCTTGTCCTTTTTTGGAGTAGTAATTCTTGAACAAAGAGGATGTTGCTACCAGTTCAGCTAAGCTCAGACATCTACACTGCACACGTCCAAGATAGTTCTCTAAATTGCCCTTATATTGGGCAGACAGAAAAACCCCTGCATTTTCAGACTATGCTCATCTCATTCCAAAGTGGATTTATTTCTCCCTAGCAACAGCAGAAGCACCCTAGATAACTGTCAAGTCTGTATTCTAAGCACTCAGGGGAGATGACTACCATAATGCTGTTTGCATACAGACATTCTATGCAAGATGCTCTAGAGCCTTAACTTCAGTTGGGATCTGCAAGCATTACTGTAACCTAAATATTAGTCTTGAAAAACTTCTGTATATTTCTACAAAGCTTCATTTACTTTTGAACTAGCAAAGAGGAAAACCACTGATAACATATTAGCTGTCTAAAAAAGGAAGAAAAAACAAACTCTTTCCCCACCCTGAGAATAAAAACAGCTCCTCTATTTGAAAGAAATTAATTCCCCAAAACCACACCAATTCAATGAGAATTAAAAATATGATGCAATTAAAGCAGTGACTCAGTGAACAAACAAGGACCAGCAGTCAGGGCATGCAGATGAGACAAAATGCACAGAAAGGTCCTTGCTGTTGCTCACACAGCTGAGATGACCTCTGCAGCCACCAAGCAATTACCTGTTCTGGTGTGCACATGCATTGCTGTTTGCTCTCTTTTACATCTGGGAGCTTGAACTTCTTCCCAAAAAGAACTGACATTCTGCAAACTCAGAGAACAAGACATCTATTTTTACTAGCACTGGCAGTATTCTGCCAGAAGTAGTCTTTCAAACAAAAAATCTTTATTTCTTCTTTCATCTGGACAGAATCTTCAAATAAGAGTGTTGTCAGTCACCACAGTGATTTACTTCAGATTTTCATTCAAAAGATTCTTACCTAACAAACAGGCTGAGTAACTACCAGAAACACGAAGAGAAAACAAATCCTTCACTGCACCGACTTTACAATTAATTTCCTAGTACAGAATGTACTAGGAAATGTAATATGCTTCAGGCTCTTCAACTACTGACCTAGCTTTCAGGAAGGTTCAGCAGTCTCCTGGGTTTTGCAATAGTAAAATATAATTAAGACATGCAAAGTTTTGGGTCAAGCAATGGATGAGAAATCATGAGAGAAATTGCATATATATACGTACACAATTTGAGCTCAATGATATGAAGGGGGAAAAAAAGGGAAAAATCTTAGCAATAGCTAGTGATCATTTTGGGCCACGCTTTTCAGATAAGCTAGACAGCAGTCTTACATTGCAAACCTTCAGATTGTTGTTATGGAGGTAATCCCAAACAGGCAAATAAATCATGTTGCCACTAAAGATTTATTCTGGGAACTATAACCTGCCATGACTATTATTATTCCAGATATGAACTACAGCCACAAAACACTTAAGAGAGCAACTTGAGTTCTCATAAAATCTGAACTGGGCCAGCAATTGCCACCCCAATCCTCAGAGAAAAGCCTCCTAATTTTACCAATATGTTCAGCTGCCTGTGATAGGCTACAAGCCTTATGCCACACAAAACATACAACATCTCAGATTTGTGGCAAAGACTGCAGAATTAGTAATTATGTATCCTCACATTACAATGACATTAATAATGCATCACATGAAGTCCTGCAGCCTGACTGTCACTATGACAAAATCCTAGCACATGATTTCTGCTTTGCTTATTGATGGTTTTCAGCATTCATCATAAAGGTACTCTGCAGTTAAATGCATTTAAAAATAGTACAAATGAAAAAGATGTGCAATTTAACATGAATGTTCTTGAATAGAGACAGACAGAAGATATGATTAATCAAGCAGCAATGGAGTGGGATGGTGGGGAAGGGGAGAGAATTAACTTACGGTTGAATTTAAAGAATCTTTCATTTCACTGCTCTGCTCATTTTATTACCCACCCTTTCAAGAAGAAAACCATGTTTATTCTATTTAATAGACTTCCCAGAATTTGTGTGTTGGGGTAAAGAAATGTTCACTTCTCCATTTCTGCATTTCTGGCCTACCACCTCCTCCTTTCCACCCCTGGAAGCCAATGTGAAGAGTCAAGACCATGACAGTGGCATTTAACTTGTATGGACAACACGTGGATCTCCAACTCCCTTATCCTGTTTTGTCAAAGCACAGGGCTGGATTGAAGGGGGTAGCATTAAACAACAATCACACCATCTCAGGTGTAGCTAATGTTTCACAAACTTCCCAAAAAGCAGAAGAAAAAGATGGCATGGGCCATTCTCAAAGAGTCTGTGGGGAAAAAAAAAAACCAAAAAAAACTGAGGATGATGAAAAGGACTCTGTTACATAAAGTTTAAATTTCACTGCCTATTTCCCTTGTGCTCCACACTTAAAAAAATCCTTTCAATGGACTTCTTCCCTCATTCCTTCTTCCTTCAGTATTTCTGCAAGGTGCTTCACAACATAGAGACAATTTCAGATTGTGTGTTACAGTGGGTTTTCCTATGAGACATTTACACTATTTAGCCTCTGGCTTTCTTACTAAATATTTCCTGGCATGATATTCTATCATTCACTGTAGTGTCTAAAGCCAGTGTTTCTTATTCATACAAATTAAGGTGTACACTCATCACATTTAAGATCAGCTTCATATACTCCTTAAAAAATATTTGCCAACAGTGCTATGTGAGGGTATTATATTTCACAGTGTAAAAATATGGAAAAAAAATATGACACAACATAGAAATGTGCTTTTTTTCTTCCCCTTTTTTAGAACCAACAAAAGATGTAGCAAGGAAAAAATCCCACTAAGTGCTAGTGTAAGACTGCCCTCTAGTAGAAAACTTTCTCCAGGAATATGCTGCCTGTTTTGGGAAAATATATTACAAATTTAAATACACAAGCTGTGGTCTGATAACATGGTAGAATAGGTTTTCCACAACTAAATAATGTGTGTGACAGCACCTATATTAGTGCCATGTAGAAAACAGAAGTAAATACGTAGATAAGAAGAGAATATAAAGAACAAGATAAGAAGTAACTAGAAAACAGTACAATCTATTATACGGATCAGCTGGCTACTGAATTTAGATGTCATGTTCATTTGTTGTCAAAATATGTCAGAAATAGAATCAAGAGCAGAAAATTTGAAATAAAAGTATTTCTCTCAAGAAACTTGAAAGGGAGTGGCTGTTTCTTCCAAAATCAAGATGAAAAATACAGAATCAAACTAGGAAACAGCAAAAATAGAAGGAAAAATCAGAATGTTCCAGAAGATACTTCTCATAAACTATGTGTAAGTACATACTTACTGAAGAGATATTTACTGACAATCATGAAATATCAAATGGATAAAAAAACAGCTTTTGAAAATATGCAGTTTATTGACCCTATCATTACATTACCATAATAGTACATCAACTGTAAAAATGGACAACATCAAGGTTAGTTAAGATGCCTTTCTAATAACTAAACTATTTTAGATCCCTATATTTTTAATGCGATATTATCTTATTAACTGTGTTATGTTTGGGAAAAAAGTTCCTTCTGAAAAAGTGATTAGCTATGGTTTTTGCTCCTGAGAAGCTTTTGATACTGGAAGTTAATCTGGCTTTGTGAAACAATGCTACAAAGATTTTTATGTCCCATGCAAGCCCCTAAAATATGCAAAACCAGGCAAACTCAGCACAGTTACATTTACCCACATCCCAGACGCACAGGCCCCTGACCACGTATCTCACATGGTAGGTCTGGAACTTTAGTGTGGTATGAGACCAAATCTCTTATCTCTGCACAGCAAGATGTGTGTACCCAGGCTGGTGTGTGCACAGGGGTCTTTGCAGTGTGCCTGTGTGCATGGCACAGTGATACCCTCCCTTAGTGTCAAACAAACCCATCCCCTGGACCAAGGACACTGGCAGCTGTCTTGTGTTTTCCATACACAAACAAGTACTGTGGCTAAATGCTTGCTTCATTAAACATAATTAATGCATACAAAAGTTTCACTCCTGAAACCAAGCACCTTTCTGAACCAACAGCAGGCATGGACTTTCTAGGAAAGACTTTTAAATACACAGCTAATTAAAGCAAATTCTGTTTTAGTTTGTGTGACTGTGTGTAGAACTCCTAGTCCCAACAAGTTCTGGGCACAATTCTTTATCCAGGAGTTTGCAAAAATGTACTTGAAAAAAGAAATCACGACTGTCTGAATACAACGAGGAATATCAGCACACAGGAATTGAAACATGATTTGAAGAAAGATTTTTAAAGAGGAAAGAATAGGGTAATTTGCAAACCCACAGGATCTGTCAGTTTGAAAATGTTGCAGCAATATTAAAGAACTGGAGGAGTAAGAGTTTGGGAGGGACACAATACAAGAGGAATGCTTGTTTCTCAGGACCCCAATGAACCCTGCAGCCATCAGGTATACCAAGCCATGGAATTCTGGGAAAGAGACTAAAGCAGACTGCTAATCACTACCTGATTTAAAATAGAAAATCACATACCAACTGACAAAAAAAAAAACAAAAACAAAAACAAAAACAAACCCAAAACAAAACATACAAACAAACCAAACCCCAAAACAAAAATAAAAAAACTCCAAACTACCAAAAATGGCTACTTACAGTCCACTGAAAAACTAATTATCACTTAGGGACAACCTGTGTTCTTCAGCAGCAGGAATGCAGCATATCTACTTTGTCTGACTCAAACATTCAGACAGGGCATTCAGTATTACACAGTGAAATGTTGGAATTGAACACACACTATCAATTACTGCTGGAGGCTGAGCTCATGCTTAAAGATCAGATGAAGTAATTAGGCGGTCAGGAAACAAGACAGATTAAAAATAGCAGACAGTTGCCAGTAGACAAATGTATGACATACACCACACTTCACAAAAATGAGGGAAGCTACAGTCCACAAAAATCACTGAATTCCATGTGCTGGATGACGTTACCCTACCTGCAAAACTAGAAGATTATCCTGATTAAATTAGAGATGCAGTATCTTTCCAACATTGGCTGAAGATGGGGTTTAGTGGCTTTGATATAAGACACATTTTAACAGCCTACATTGCTCATATAGCTCTTTATCTGACCCCTGTTTAGGCACAGTGAAAACAGCTGCCAATGCAGAGTCCACAGAGCTCCATGTAGTGCAAATGTGCCAACACAGCAGTACAGAAACTTAGAAAGAGCAGATGGAGGTTGACCTGTGTTTTTGTGGCACCATGAGGCATCTGTGTAAATGACAGAAATAGAACGGTTCAGGATGGAAGAGACCTTAAAGATTATCTGGTTCCAACCCCTCTGTCATGTGCAGAAACACCTACCACTGGACCAGGCTGCTCAAAGTCTCATCCAACCTGGTCAAATGTCTCTGGGCAATCTGTTTCACTGCCTCACCACTCACAGTGAAGAATTTCTGCCTAATATCTAATCTAAAGCCTCTATTAGTTTGAAGTCCTTACTCCTTCCCTTGTCACTGTAGGTCCTTGTGAAAGCCTGTCTCCAATTCCCTTTAGGTACTGGATGGCCAGTCTAAGGACTCCCTGGAGGCCTTCCTTCTTCAGGCTGAACAGCCCCAACTCACAGCCTGTCTTCACAGGAAATGTGCTCCAGCCCATTCTTCATCTTCAAATTTCTCAACATTATATTTCAGAAATGAAACAAAAAGAAAAATGTAGGAGTATTCCCTTGCACACCTTTAAACCAAAATATCTTAGATGCAAGAAGCATCTTTCAACACAAAAAATTAAATAGTAGAGCTAAGAAAAATATAGTGAAATGTTCTGCATTTAAGCAGAGATAATCAGTAAGAGGTAACTGAAAAGATATGAAATATTCAGAAAGTACCTTTTAGTGCCATATTCTTACATCCTTTTATATTATTTTGTATTTCTCCACTGACAAGATACATAAGTTTGCTTACTGAATTTTCTTTCAGCTGAAGACCTTCTCCATTGGGCAGCGATGACCTCCGTTTTGTTGAGTTCTTGTTTGGTGTAGAATTACTGCCTCCAGCTTTTTTCTTGACAAAGAGGACCTCACAGCTGGCTTGATCTTCATTGTGCGTGCTCTTCCCTGCATTTATTACCCTAAGAAAAAAAAAACAAAACAGAAAAGAAAACAATGACCAGATTAGCAAAGCACAGCAGCCCCCATCTGTATCTCGAAATGTGACTCCAGATGTATGGAACCAGAGCCCAGCAGTGTTGCAAGTACTGACTGAATTAAAATACCTGACCACCTTCCAGAGATACAAACATACACACAGGTATACTTTTTATTTCACTACACATACACATGACACACAAGCATTTTCCACAGAACTATGTGAATAAGAACCAATGGTGCCATGAGCATATTTCACCCCTAGGCATGCCATACTTTTTTTAAAAAGAGACTACTTTATGGATGAAGTTCTTAACACACATGCCTCCCAGTTAAAACATGAGACCCCCATTTGCTTTTCTACCTGTCAACATCTCTGCTGCAAATAACGGATATGCTGGCTAAGAGTGTGCATTCTGTCAAGTTCCATGTCTTTGCACAAACAAAATACCTGTTATAAATTTACAAAGCTGTTACTGCTAAAGGCAGTCTGTTCAAACAGCATATATTAGAAATGCTGTGACAGAAATACAAGGGAAAGACTTTGTCTCTGACAGGCAAGTCAAGCTTGCTTGTACCACAGTGATACAGTGATGCATACTAAATACATCCCTCTAGTACTGCACAACATAACCCCCTGCCCCTAGAAGCCTACCTCAAACTATCTGCCCCAGCTGCCCAGAAAACAGAGGATTTGCACTAAGAGCTGCAGGCATGCAAAACCCAGCACTCAGAGCTCAGCACAAGCTTTTAACAGCCCAAGGTATCCTGACTCGTACCACAGCTTCCTTCTTTTGATCAGTGACGAGGCTGAAATAAACAGCTATTCCACCAACAAGCTTTTAAAATCTTAATCAGAAGCCTGTGGTATTCAAAATGCTGTGGTTACTATCATTGATCTCAGAACAGGCAAGCCCAAACACATTTTCCACTTCTGACATGAGAATCTCATCACAAACTGACCAATTTTGCATCAGTTGACAGTTCTGGGTTCACACAGGGAAATCCCATGCAAGATGGGACAACCTCTTGCTCCAGCCAAGTAAAGACACTGTGACTTTGATGGAAGCACATCTTCCACAAACACTATCCACCCACTCCTCTTCATTGTGAGGTTGGGGTCAACAAGTTGACCGATACTCAGAGACAGTATTTCCACTACTGGATAAGCACCAAGTTTCACATCAGGCACCCAATGCTTTTAGAAATAACTGCTGCCTCACCAGAAACTTAAAACAGCTTGAAGGCAGATCATGATCCTGATGGCAAGTTCAAGACATGCCTCTGATCTCTAATGTTTTCATTACATTAAAACTTTACAAAATAGGAAAGTACTTGCTAAAAGGTTGTTGAAATGAAAACAAAAACCAAAGGAAGGCTTGCAGGGAACTCCAGCTTGCCTGCTCTTGCTGAAATGTCAAGTCTGTGTCAGCCTTGCTTAAAGGTAATAAAATTTTTTCACTTTCAAGGAGCAGTATGATACTGTGACATGCAAATGAGTATTCTTGCCTCTGAAAAAACAGCCTTTTTTTAAAAGAAAATGTATGTCCACTGCAGTTAACTACTCTCAGAAATGGGAAGTTTCCTTACAGTGCTAAATGCTTCACATTGCAGTCTATCTGTATGCACAGTACCACCATTTGTTTGCATGTCTTGTAAATAAACACTAATTGTGGATAAAATTATTTTGCAAAACACATAGAGAGCAGAGATGAAGGAGCAATTAGTTGCAAGGCACTTGAGAGCAGTTTAACCACTTATCCCCTGTAGTGCTTAACATTGGGGTAATTGCAGATCAAATATTGAGATGCAGTAAGTTTCCAGTCTGAAAACTCATTTTCTTGACATTAGGAAAGGTAGAAGCATATATTCAAAAATGGGGTGAAAGTGTCTGGGGAGGAGGACAGAACACACAACACGCATGACAAAATCATAATACCAAAGCATTTAAGTCAGCTGATCACGGCCTGTTCAGTTTAAAATGCTACAAACATGATTCAAATACTGCACCAAAAGAGAAAGTGTAGTTTTATCACATCAGGAACTAATCAATATTTAGTTTAGCTGACCAGTCTCCTTACTGTTTTCAATGCCATTTTAAAAAGGAAGCAGAAAACAAGTAAGAGACAAAAGTTACTCCTTACAAACATCACTACTTTCCTACTACTTATTGTTCCTTACGAAAGTCATTAAACTCTTGGAGTTCCCTGGTTTCTGAGCTTAGTGATGGACTTTAGGACTTGTATGGTGGAAGATGTTCTGATGTTTAATAACATGTCAAGTTATGCACAATATTATCATTTTTTAAGGCTCTTATAAAGAAAATTTTTCAATGCATTGAATACATTAGAAAGACTATAAGAACAAAGTGACCCAGGAGACTGGCTTGACAATCAGCTATCACAAAACACTGGAGATGAAACTGTGTACAAGCACCTTGCCAGAGAAAGATATGATCAAAAGGAACCTAGCAAGACTGAACACTGAACAGACATGGGAGTTGGAGTTGGGGTGTCAGTGTAAAGGAGTATTATTTATTTGAGGAGGGAGGAATGGGCTCTGAACAACACAATTAATCCAAGAAATCAAATATACTTCCCAGAATTCCAGTTTTTCTTTCTTCATCAGAAGAGTAAGTGTATTGTATTCCTTGGGAATGCCTGAATTTATCATAATGTCAAAATGGTGTTTATGGATCCTCCCAGGTAATACAGGGCCTAGACACCAAAAGCTGCTCCTCTCCTGACACAGGCACTCTTCTACTCTCACATCCCACCTCACAGGCAAATCCTGGAAAACTGCTGCAGTGAAGCCCCATGATTTTTAATTTCAAATCTTGAGCTTTGTGTTGGTGCCTGATGCCAAGCACAGAAGCTGGTAACAACTACTCAAGCTTCAGACAGCTTCTACTCAGTTTCAAACAGTTCTGTCTTTGCTGACTTTTGAAATCCTTTTCTTTCTGCAGTTTCCTAAATGTCTCCTCCAGGCAATTCTTTCAACCAGCTTTCCAATGCTGATTTCACTGTTGTCTTTTCTCCTTGCTCTCCCACACTGCAACTTATGAGAACAAAAATCACATCTAAGCTGCTTATACAAATAACAAAGCAGAGCTAACAAGAGATTCATATCACCAAAAGGTAACTCTTAATTGGACCTCTGTAATTTTTTATGGAAAATCTGCCCCTCCTTCCACTGATGAAGTACCTCAGCTTCCAAAGATTTCCCCCGTGTATTTTTTTCTGTCTAAATCAAAAGCTAAGTTTTCCACCAGTAAAGTAAGCAAAATGAGATGAAACAGCTCCACTATTTTCAATTTCATTTTATCATTAATAATAATGCAGAGAAAAAAGTAGTTAAAAATTAATTAAGAGTGAGGCCTACATAATTCTCTAGCTTACTTAGATACATGTTTTCAAGTAAATTCCTCTTTTTGTTCTCTCTCCAAATTTCTCAAGACACTGATTAGACCTATTAATGACCAACTTCTTTCCATCCTTTCCCTCCTCTCCCCCAATACCCATGTATCTCCTATTCAGTCTTTTGCAACCTTCAACCCAAACAATGCATCCAGATCAGAAGCCCCTCCTTTTACAGAATTCGCTGTTTGTACTGTGTCAAACACATTTCTCAGTAATAAGTAAATAATCCTAAAGTTCAGTTTGGGGTACAGTGGTGTTAGTAAAAGCCATCCTGCTTTCCAAACAGGAGCTTTCTGAAGCCTGCACAGTCAGGTGGTGGGTTTTGGTCACAGTGGAAGTACCTTCATCAAATCTTGATGAACACTTAAGTGTTTCATGAGTCTTAATCTTAAACATGTCCTCAGCTAAAAGCAAATCCACCAGACAGGGGCCAGCTAGTTTGTCTGGCTCACAATTAAGATTCTCTTGGTATCTCAGGAGACCCCAAAGTCCATCTGACTAGTTGGAAATGTCGGTCACACTGCGCTTCTATTCTTCTCTCAACAAGCAGCGCTCAAATTCTGTGCCATGATCATTGCAAAATCTGAAGTTTATTTTAAGATAACCAAAACAGGACTGATAAACACATCCAAAACAGTCCTTGATAGTTTCAAAAAATTCCCCCAAAACAACCCAAACCACAAGCAAACACAAACCAAAAATAAAGCAAACACAAACAAAAAAACCAAAAGCTTCAGTCTTAAGAATGCCTTTCTATTCATCCCTCTATTTTTTTTTCTTTTTTGCATCAATACCAGTATATACTCTTTGGATGTTTTATTCCTTTCTATACCATGCCCTTTGATATTACATTAAATTGTGATCAGCCAAAATTCCAAGCCGTGCTGTAGCAGTAAAGTTTTACCCACCAAAAAAATCCCTAATGCAGTTGCCTTACCCACTTGGAACAAAATACAGCCCACAACAGAAGCTTCAAACAGTCTATGAGGTGCATAAAGGAATATTGCTTGTAATGTGCCCTGAAAGATGTTTTCATTTGGGGAACCTGTGCTCATTTGTTCCACAAATATTAATCCCATAAAAATGCAAAAGCTCCTAAGGGTTAGAGAGAAAAAAAGAGCTAGAAATAAAAGGATATATCCATAGGCAGCTTGTTGTACACTTCAATTTTCAGTTCTACCCTCCTCTGGGGTGGACACCTGTATTTGTTTTGATTCTGAATGAATCAATTCAGCAGGAAGCACAAAACCCTTCTCTCCCCGCTTCACAGGAGCTACAGCCAGTCTCTCTTTCCAGCTATAGCACACACACACCACTCCACAACTGCACGACACCAGCTTGCAGCCAACCCAACCAAAAACACAGAAGTAAACAAGATGAACGAATACTATACATACAGACAACAGACAATACATTCCTAACAGTTTTGTGTTATAATTTTAACAGCATTAGAGTGATGGTTAAAGATATAATAAAAAACAACTTTCACAAAAGTGTTGCTGGCTTTACTTGGCCCTCCCACTTTTTTTTTTCCCCTTAATGGATAAGAATGTGAGTGGATGCTG